CATCTCTATACCCGGACTCCCCATAATCTTTTCAGGGATGCAGACCACTCCCACCTACACACACCTGTAGCAGTTCTTCCCACTTCATTCATGGGATGGTATTAATGAGAAATGTTCTTCCATAGTCTTAGGTATTTAAATATTTGGTCCCCAGTTGGTGGCACTGTTTCAGAAGGTTTAGGTAGTAGAGCTTTGCTGGAGAAGTAAATCACTGAGACCAGGATTTAAGGTTAAAAACTTCCTACCATTTCTAATTTGCTCTGTCTTTTTCATGCTTGCCATGGAAGGTGTGAGCTCCCAGTTTCCTGCCACCATGGCTGCCCTGTAATGTCCTATGTCCCCACTATGATGGACACTTATTGCTCTGAACTATAAATCAAAATAAGCTTTTCTCCTCTGCAAGCTGTCCTGGTCATGATGTTTCTGTCACAGCAACAGAAAAGTAACTGACACAAACCACAATGCCCATCACCTCCCTCAGCCCAGCTTATCCTTGTGCTTTGTGTCCCCTAAGAGAAGCATTACACACCCCAAATTTCCCTGTACTTCTCCTGTTTCTCTCTGCTACTCTTTTGACATTACACCATGGAGGCTGTCAATCTTGGGAGTCTACTCATACTGGATCATGGACCTCAACCTGACTCTTGACTTACCAGCCATCCACTTGCTGAGGACTCTTCAGTTAAAATTGTCAGGGTATACCTCTCCCCTAAAATCCATACTTGCATACACACACACACACACACACACACACACACACACACACATTCCTGCCTAACTCAGTATCTCTATATAAATAGCAGATTGGTAGTTCAAACTTAACATATTATTGAACAAATAAACAACCATAAACAAACCCCCTCAAGCCTTCAGACTATCCACCTCATCTCAGCAAATGCCAATTTTACAGTTACTCACAAGGAAAAACTATAGCAATACTTCACTCCTTTCTTTCTCTAAATTCTACTCTGTTTGTTTGTTTGAGACAAAGTTTCTCTGTTTAACAGTTCTAGCTGTCCTGGAACTTGCTCTTGTACAGTAAGCTGGTCTGGCACTCAGAGATCCCTCTGCCTCTGCCTCCCAAGTGCTGGAATTAAAGGCATGCACCACCACTACCCTGCTCTAAACTCTATTCTTACACTGTTGAATCTACCCAACTGTATGCATCACCATTACTGACACTTCTAAGTCTTTCTTAACCACTGGCAGATACGTGGCAGTCTTGCTGGCCTCTATTCTCTAATGCTGATAATAATCTTCATCTCTCCAAGGCAGTGGCAACCAAAAATGCCTCTGGATGTTGTCATGTGTCCCCAGGGTACACAAACAGCCTTGGTTGAAGCATTCCCCTCTATAGGTACATAGCAGGCATCATCACGTACTTCATGACTCAGTTCAAAGTCCCTCACTCCACCCCACTACAAAACATCAAGAACCAGACTGCTCCATGCTTACTTGTTCCCCTCTTTAGCAGCTCCACAACTCTTGTTGCCAAGGTACTGCTAAGTGGGGAGATATAAGAAGTTAGGACAGTGAGTCATGTACAGACCCAGAGCAATCCCCCAGAGAAGAAACCAGAAGGCTCATGTCTTCACTCCACACCAAAGTGGTCCAAAACTAAATTCAAGGCTCTGGAGAAGTTCAAGGTGGGAAGCTAACAGATTCCAAGAAATTTAGGGTGAAATTTCAAATGAAACTGGGCAGTGCTAATTCTGAACTAAATGATACCTTGGTGCAGGAAAATAGTTTAAATTCTGTCAATCTGTTTATTTTGAATAAACGCTGATTGGCCAGGCAGGAAGTATAGGTGGGTTAATCAGACAGGAAGTAGAGGCGGGGCCATGAGAACAGGAGAATTCTAGGAAAGAGGACGCCCATTACTCCCATTCCTGCCCAGACCACCCAGAAGCAACATGTGACCTGCCCTGCTGTGAAAGGTACCAAGCTGTGTGGCTAGCATAGATAAGACAATGGGTTAATATAAGCTACAAGAGCTAATAAGAAGCCTGACCTAATGGGCCAATCAGTTTATAATCTTATGGACTCCCCTGTGTGATTTTCATTGGGGCTTGCCGTCTGTGGGGTACTGAGCAGGACAGAAACCCCACAAGCCAGCCTTCATGTTACAATACCTAAGTGTGTGGCAACATTGTAGATGTCATGGATGAACTGGGTAGAGGATTCTAGCTACTAACCAGGTGTTTCAGGAGGAGCTACTCCTAGTGAACATCTCTCCCACTCTTACCTACCAAAGACACATTTCTCTATCTCATAGCTGATACCTAAGAACCTTTTATTTGGGGGAAGAATCTTTGCACGGTACCATTTAATCAGGCAAACAACATACCACTTACAATTCTCTAAGCAAGAGATTCTGAACCTCTCAAGCTAGTATCAAAGCAAAACTCAAATCTTGAACTTAAAGGAGTTAGTGATAAGTTCACGGATGGGGCACACAAAGTGGGAAACGCTTTGAAACTTCCTTCTCTGGAAATTTTAGGTTTCAAACGCACACATGCAAACCTGAAGCCACACAAGAGGGTGATAGAATGAAGAGACCCAGGTAGATTTATCAAAAAAAAAGCACATAAAAACCACCACTTGGAAGAAAGCAATTTAATTTAACAACCATTAAATAGATATGCAAAGAAATGGCCAGTGCATAAGTTAGATTCTAGAAAGGGAAATGAAGCATATCATTGTTCTTCAATTATTTCTCCTATCAACCACGCTCTCATTCCACGGCTGGGAACCTCAGGCTTTGAGGTCAAGAGATTCAGTAACCTTGATTTATGATGGCAAGGCCCTTGTGAACCATGACTGAAATGAGTGCTCTATATAGAATGAGCCCCACTTCTACCTCTCATTGGTAGGATCCGTGCCTCTCCTCCTGATGATGGAATTCCAATAGAAATGAGATGCATGTGATATTATATATATATATATATATGTATATGTAGAATTTAATCACACAGTTCCACCTATAAAACAATGTCCTACTGGAAGGTCTAGTCTCTGACCCAGATGATGATACGTTATAAAAGTTAAAGGCTCCATAGTCATGACCAGTTTCCACCATAGACATGAAAAGAAAAGAGTGACTCCTCTCCTAAGTCCAGAGCCATTTGTGTTTTCTTTCTACAAAAATTGTGGGCGAGAACGCCCACTACCAGAAAAAGGAAGGAAGGAAGCAAGGAAGCAAGGAAGGAAGGAAGCAAGGAAGGAAGGAAGGAAGGAAAGAAGGAAGGGGGGGAGAGAGGGAGGGAATATTTTTAATCGTAACACTTCTGACTTAAACCAGAAAAATCATTTTGGATTACATCCAAGTTCACTCTAATATTCTTTACCAAAAAACAAAAAATGAAAAGTGCTTTTTTTTCTTCCTTGAAGTAAGTTTTAAAGACTCTGGAAAGCATTGGAAATTCACAACTTTGGAGCTATTAGATCAAAAGCACTACTTGTCCCCACTCACCCCAACACACACACATGCACGCACTTGTACATATGTGGCATGGGCAAAACCTGCACCCAGAAAATTTTCCCAGGCTGGAGAGTGGGGCAGATGAAGTTTAGATTAATGCTGCCCTAAAGTTCCATGACATTCAAGCTGCATTCGACTACATGATAATATAAAAGTGTCACCTCATAAAACTGAAAACGAGGGTTTAAATCATTGCTCAAGTGAAAAAGTAATTTCAGACAAAAATATCTATCACATATAAAATATTTATTGAGTGGCATCTACTGTTATACATAATTTATGAAACACCTCTTGGATAAGACAGAATGCTTAACATAGAGGTACTGGCTCCCCTCCCATAACTCCTGGCACAATGAGCCTCAAAGAAAGAAGTGAAATATGTAGAGATGCAGATAGCTTACAACGAAACAAAGTTTTAGGTCAACCAAATGTGTTTGCATGAAAAGGGAACCTAAGAGTGATCACAAGTGTCAGAATAGCATCAAGTCATATTAAACAATGTGTCTCTCACAGCTGAAAAAAAAAAGCTCACTGTGTTTTGCCTCAACCTCCAGACACCTAGTCACATAAAACATTTCTGAATGTGAAACGTGTGTTTGAACAGAAGACAGAGCACCTCAGTCACATTCTGAGGACCTTGGGATGCCTAGAAGGTTACAAGCAAGGATTCCTGAATTCAGAGAAGATCCTATAAAGGGTACTATTTGCTATGGAGGAGGAGCTTGTAGTCACCACACAATATTACAGTGAAAAAGATTCAGCTTTTAAAATCATGACTTTGTCCTTATTTTCTCACACCGAGTCATGTAAAACTGAACTACTTCCTTGAATAAATGAGTAAGTTAAGACCAATAGAAAAGCACACTGAACCAGGAGTGTCACTTAATGGCAGAGCAGGAGCTTAGCTTGCTTGAGGTCTTGGCTCACACTGAGTCTGCTAAGAGGCAATAGAGATGCCAGGCTCATCTTAAATCACTCACTGGGTGCTTGCTTTTTGGTAGTAGACATAGTGATTTTAAAGTGGGTTTTTTCCCAAATTGTTAACAATTAATAAATGTCAGAATTTTTGTAGAAATTTAGTCTTATATATTTTACCAA